GCGCACCCTGGCCCACATGCCCAACATCCGGCACAGGCTCCATTGACTGAGTAGTACCTAGCTGTCATTCTTCATAATCATCTTTGCGCGCATTCGCCTCCTCGCATTCCCCGTTAGCTGCCGCAAATAGCCCTCGCTGAAGCAGTAAACACAGCCGCCATGGGTGCAGCGGCGACGGAGCCGCCCTCGGTCTCCCTCTCGTGTATGTCCATGTTGCTGCAATAGTCTCAGGAGCAAGCTGACACTGCTAGTCGCCAACAACTTCTGGGGCAAAGATGACGCTGGCGTCGGTCCTATGCTCGACCGCATGCATGCGGCCAAAGTCACCAATGACGAACTCAAACATTTCTACGTAGCAAGAGCCTCCATCGAAGAAGACTACTCACGGAAACTCCTCAATCTGTCGCGAAAGCCCCTCGGATCCTGCGAAACCGGCACCCTCCGCCTGTCCTGCGATGTCATCCGAGCCGAGGTCGAATCCATGGGAAAGGCACACCAGAGCATAGCACAGCAGATGAAGACGGAGTTGGAGGAGCCCCTGGCAGCCTTTGCAGGCGGGATGAAGGAGAGGCGCAAGATTGTTCAGAATGGCATTGAGAAGCTGCTCAAGCTCAAGATGCAGCAGACAGCCACCATGAACAAGGCGCGCGACCGATACGAGCAAGACTGTCTAAAGATCAAGGGTTTCCTAGCCCAGGCGCACATGGTAATGGGACATGAGGAGCGCAAAAACAAGGCCAAGCTCGAGAAGACCCAGATCAACCTGACAACCACCAGCGCCGACTACGAGGCCGCTGTCAAGGTGCTCGAAGAGACCACAGGCAGATGGAACCGAGACTGGAAGGCTGCTTGCGACAAGTTCCAGGACCTCGAGGAAGAGCGCATTGACTACACCAAGAGCAGCCTGTGGAACTTTGCCAACATCGCTTCGACCGTGTGTGTCAGCGACGATGCTTCCTGCGAGAAGATGCGACTATCCCTCGAGGACTGCGACGTCGAGAAGGACATCACCGGTTTTATCAAAGAGTCTGGAACCGGTCAGGAGATCCCCGATGCACCCAAGTTCATCAACTTCTGCAGAGGCGACGCCGAGACCTCCTCACAGGTCTCCGAGGATGAGAATTACTCAGTCGCACAATTCGCGAGGACGCTGAACCCGGCCTATCGCGCTTCATCACCAGCGCCTTCAAGCTTCGAATCCCACCATGATCCAAACAACCCGCTAGCTCGACAGCTAGGCCTCCAACAGCAGACGCGCCCAATTGCGCCAGACGAAATTGATGCGTTGCCCCTGCACTCGATAGACAAACCTCGCCAGTCAATCGACAGGCAGCGGCAATCAATCGGCTCCCGTCACTCGGTAGACATGTCCCGAGTCGAGCCGTCGCTGCAACAATTGGAGGAGCAAGCTGAGCAGCAACTACAGCTGGCCGAACAGCAACGGCAGCTGGCAGAGCAGCAACGACAATTAGAGCAGCAACTTCAGCAAGCAGAACATGAGCGTCAACAAGCAGAGCAGCAACGTCTGCTAGCAGAGCAGCAACGACATTTAGAGCAGCAACTTCAGCAAGCAGAACAGCAACGACAACTAGAGCAGCAGCTACAGCAAGCTGAACAGGAACGGCAAGCTGAACAGCAGCGACAGGCTGAACAGAAACGACAGGCTGAACAGCAACGACAGGCTGAGCAGCAACGACAGGCTGAGCAGCAACGACAGGCTGAGCAGCAACGACAGGCTGAACAGCAACGACAAGCTGAACAGCAACGACAGGCTGAACAGAAACGACAGGCTGAACAGCAACGACAGGCTGAACAGCAACGACAGGCAGAGCAGGAACGGCAAGCAGAGCAGCAACGACAACGTGTGGAGCAGCAAAGACAATACATAGAGCAGTCAAGACAGCAGCCCGTGAGGCAATACACGGAACCAGCAAGGCAGCAGCAGATCGAGCCTCTACGGCGACGCACAGAACCCGTAGAGCCATCACAAGCACTCCAGTCGCCCCGACTTGCACGAGCAATTCAGCCAGATCCTCGACTTGTCCAAGCACAAGAGCAAGCCCGCCAACAGTATCAGCAGAGGGAGGCTCCGCACAATGATTACCCAGCAGATGGGATGACGCAATTCTGCCGCATTGATGCACCATCTGATCAGAGCTCAATCCCAAGTCCTGCTCGCCCTGCCAGCAGGGATTCGCAAAGTGAATATTCAAACCCCACATCCTTCTCCAGCATTGAGCCTCCCAGCGGCTCTGCATCACCTGGCAAACCGATGCCGCAGTCACCGCTTCCTGAACCTAGCCCGATAGAGGAGGGTTCAGTGCAAAAGAAGAGGGGTTTCTTCAACAGTCCATTCGCAAGGAGAAAGAGCAAGCACGAGGTTGAACCACCGGCTCTCACACGCAGTGCCCGCAATACATGGACAGCTTCTTCGCGAAGGAACACAGAGGAGAACGCTAGCCCCCCAAAGAGCTTTGCGACCAGAGGGCAACGCGCCATCCAGAGCAAACCGCCATCTCCTAGCCCAGAACCGGCTGATCCCCGAGCCAGCTTCCAGCTCAATGTTGGTAACAATGTGTTTGATGTGGCTTCGCCAGACAAGAAGAAGCAGCAAAAGCAAGAGTCAGAGTCGCAGGAGGAGCTCGATCCTATTGCGCAGGCTCTCGAGGAACTGAGGGGTGTCACGAAGCAAACCTCAGTCCGTCAGCCTGAAGAGCGCAAGCAGTCCTCTGTACGCCAGACTGCGGATCGCTACCATGGCCTCGCCACACCTGCGCCTGGTGCGCCTGGTACACCTGCTGTCGGCTCAAAGCTAGCTGGCAGCGCACCTACACCTCTTGCCAACGCCAGTGTGACTGCAGCCAAGCGTGGTACGCCTCCACCCCAATATGACCAACCACCAATGTCTCGACTGGGCGCTCCAAAGCCAGCACACACGTCCCGTCAGATGCAGAAGACTACCCAGATGTACGTCAATCAGAAGGTGAACATGTTCAATAGTGGGGATTCGTCTCGTGCTCCCAGTCGGAGCCCTACGAAACAAGAGGCTCCTCGAACGGCTCCCACGAGAGCTGCTTCTCCCCGGGTTGCTTCTCCAGTACCTGCACGCGCCGTCAGCCCTCGACCCGTTCTGAATACTAAACCACAAAGCTCGCCTCAAAACTCCTATCGTTCGACACCACCCCAACAGCAGCCTCAATCACCATCAACCTATCAACCGGCGCCGCGACAGCAGCCACCCGCCTCGCAGCCTGTACAAAGGCCGCAGTCGCAAGCATCTCAGCGTCCGATGCGCCAACAACCAGCTGCTCAGCCAGCACCACGACCACAACAACAGCCAGCACCGCGACCACAGCAACCACAACCACCAGTGTCGCGGCCCGCGTCAAGACAGCAGCCACGACAGCAGCCGCCAGCCTCTCCTGCAGCTTCATTCAGTCGAACAGCATCGCCAAATCCCTATGCCCCGTCTAATGCTGGAGGCAGACCGCGAGCGCAGACGGCTACTGCCCCGGCCCAATCCTATGGTACACCCATCGGACGCAACTCGTACGCATCTACCCCTGGCCCTTCGCCTAATGCGAACAACATGCAACGTACTGCATCACCCCAGCCTGCGAAACAGCCTCCGGCGCCGCAACAGCAGCCACCTCCTCAACAGGCTCCTCAACAACCCTCGCAGCAACCTCCCCAGCCTGCGTTTGCACAATCGCAGTCTCGGCCACAATCGCGCGCGGCTCCATCCTCTCGAGCAGCAAGCCCCAACCCCCAATTCCGCCAGTCTTTCGAACGACCAACCAGCTCTCGAGGAAGCGACATGGCCCTTGCGCTTTCCACCGCAGGCAGCGAGCGAGGGGAAGGCAGCGTTTACAGTGGTAGCCAGTACGGAGGCAGTGTGCGTGGCAGGGCGAACACTTCATCAGCTCGACCGCAGAGCTCCTACATGGGCGGCAGCGAATTTGGCTTCAGCGGCGGCTCTGGCAGCTCCGTGAGGGCCGAGTCCCGAGCCCGAAGCAAGAGTCTGGCTGAACCCAAAAACTACAACAGTCAAGGCAGAGTGATTTTGAACTACTGTAAGTGATCCCTCCTAGTTTCCACATGCATTAACAATTAATTTCATTCAAACTAACGATAAACACAGCTCGCGCCATGTACTCGTACGCAGCCCAGATCCCAGAGGAATTGGGCTTCCAAAAGGGCGATATCCTGGCTGTTCTCCGCTTGCAGGATGATGGATGGTGGGAGGCTGAGGCTGTGGGTAAGCAGGGTAGACCGGGTCTTGTGCCGTCCAATTACTTGCAGCCGTGTTGAATGGGATGCTTTGGCCAATGAGTTTGATATGTGAGAGAGAGAGAGAGAGAGAGAAAGAGAGAAAGAAAGAGAAGGAGGGGAAGGGAAGGGAAGAAAGCGGGTATACCAAGGAGTTTTTTTTTCTCTCTTTTCGATCTGAGGGCTTTTTTGTTTACATCCTTCGTCTGACACCTTTTGACACCCCCTTTTTTTTTTTATAGCGAACTTGACTGCACGCACATACCCTGGTTGGTTTAGCTTGGTGTTGGGAATGGTGCTCTTTGTATGGATGTGTGCTTGGTTGTTTTGGATTGGATTGACGATGCAGGAAGTGAAGGGTGAGATGGAAAGGAGGTAAATGATAAATAGTATTACATGATTTACATTTCTCTGTGCCCCGTCTGTTTGGTGTTCCTCGTCAAATGCTACTTCTTCCAAATCTTGTCTTGTTCTTGTTCGTGGTTTACCATATTTCCGTCTTTTTTTTTTCTTTAGGGGCGCAGGATAGGAAATGCCCCACTTCCGCCCTAATCACCCCCCCACACACCAGAAATTTCTTGCACCGTATACCCACACACCCACACAACCTCTTTGCACGTAGCTCTCTACCTGTGTATCTGCCCAACATATCTGTCCGCAGTTCCCGAATCAATTTGGTCGTTACTTGAATGCTCAAACATCGCTGTTGGTCATCAAATCAACCAATCAATGGTGAGATGGCCGAGTTGGTTATGGCGCCAGGTTAAGGTCTTTCTTAACATCAATTTCCTGGTCACGAAAGTGGCGTGGGTTCGAGTCCCACTCTCATCAGCATTCGTCTGGCTTCAGTCAGATACCCCAGGTTCTTTTTTTGCTGTTCTTTCTGGCTCCGTTGTGAAGGAGGCGGAAGGGAGATGTTGTCGGCCATGGCTGGTTGACGGTATTTGTTTGCATCTTCGGTTTGTATTCCATCACGGTAGTTTGCGTTGATGAGGGAGGTGCTTTTTGTAATTTTTCTCTTCGTTGTTGTGTGAGAGAGAGTCATAGCTGGGCATGGAGACGTGATTGTCGAAAACCATGAAGCATACATACCGGCAGACTACAACTCCAGCGTTCCGATCCTGCTACCAACGCTGCCGCTGTCTCCCCAGACGCCCTGACCTACTCTTCTTCTTACCATGGCAAGAACGTCCTGTCTACCATTGTCCTCTTGCTCGATCTGCCTTCCAAGTGTCTTTAGAACCTCGAATTTTGCCGTCGCTACTATGTACGCCGCGTTCTCGGCATCGCCACGGCCGCCAACAAGGCTGGAAAAGGTGGTAGCAGGCTTAAGTAGCGAAGGGAGCACACCTCCACTGATAGTGGGGTCCAGAACAATGTCAAGGCCGGACTTGGGGAAAGAGTTGAGACGGGCGTACATCATGTCGTTGGCCGGAATGTCTGGCAGAGGCTCAGTAGACCATGAGGATGTGATCAGCGCACCAACAAGTGTCAATGCAGCCAGAGCATTCTCCTTCATGGCAATAGTCTCCATGTGAGTTGTGATGTCGGCGAACATGCTGGGTTTCTTAGTCCAAAACAAAGCAGTGAGAAGTCGAGCGTATACAGCCTCCGTCTGTCTGCGGTGAGCATCAGATCCCAAGGTTTCGGTTTGGGGGAAAGTGATTTCTTCTTTTGGCGGACCGTGAAAGATGGCTGCAAGAGTCTTTAGCGCATCTTGGTTTGTTCTAGTGATTGGCATGTTTACGATGACACAATCGTCCCACGCTAGTCCTGAAGCCTTTCGTGGTACCAGTGTCGACCTTGGCATCGAAGCAATGATGCTCAGGTCACTTGCTTCACACTTGCGGATATTTCGGTGGACGTGGTTCCGGATGGCTGGCATTTCTTCGCTGTTCTCGAAATTTTCGGGGTAATGCGAGGCGTAGTCGCTGATGTACTGCGCAGTCCGACTGCTCAAGAAGGAGTGGTCGAGGCCGGGGGTTTCCGACGTATGGAAGTCGATAATGCCTTTGTGGACACCCTCTTGTTTCAAGAAATCCAAGGAGAGACTCGAGTCATAGTAGGAAAGATGAGGCTTGGTCTTGATCGTTGTTATAAGCACGCTGTAGAACTGAAGTAGGGACATGTGCATGAGCATATCGTCTTGTGTATCGACCATTCTCAAGGCAGCGTAGTGAAGCAGTCCCTGGTCGCCTTTCAACCCGACTTCTCGTTCGGCGTCAACACCATATGATGAGACTACGGCGTTCCAGTCCATAGCCGCAACGCGTGGCAACCACGACAATAGTCTAGCTTGTGATATGGTCTTTTCGCGCTTGCTAAGGAGCGGGAGTGACGGTGAAGTGAACTCTTTCAGCGATGTGTAGTGGTAATAAAGCGAACTTATATCGCGGTCGCTGAAGAGTCGCCGCCACATGGGACCAGTGCCGTATGTATGCAGGGATGATTTTCCGTCGATGGAGACAGGCTCGTTCTTCGACACTTCTAGTAAAGAGGTGAGGAGGTCTTCGGCCTGCGTCGCTACCCCAGCATCTTGTGTACATAGCCACAGACGGACTATGGCTGATATGACTGCTGGACGGTTGGCGAGCGCTTGAGCATCGGTGCTACTTGCGGTGGCTTTCTCGAGTAGTGTGAGGATGAGGCTGTGGAACGGGACAGCTTGCAGGTGCAAGCCAACTTCGAAGTCAATGTCTTTGATATCCTCAAATCGATATGGCTCAGCCAACTTGACGATGAAATGGACAAGTGCTGATGGATCCTGCTGAAGCTTTGGTAGCAGAGCTGCTATCTGCAGCAAGAGCGGCCTTGTCTCCTTCCAGATCTGGCTCCTGTATTCCGGGGTGTTGGTGGAGAGCTCGCATCGCTCTAGCAGGTCTGTATCAAGAGGGCATGTAGGATCCTGGTCGACCTTTTGCAAGTGGTCCGAGAGCTCGTTCAGTACTGCTGTCGACGATGCCATGTTGTAAGCTTGGGTCGCTGATTCGGAGCAGGGTGACGAGACAACTACGAATGTTAATGTTTCTGGTCGCTGATAGCAATCCCAGCAAGGAACGTGGCGGGTAAGGTGTAGAGGAAGGTTCTAGCTCCCGCTCATGTGATTGCGCGTGGGATGTGGTCTGCACGCGTTCCCCGTAGCCTAATGCACGGTGACGGCTTCGCAGTGGCCGTCTTGGTTTGAGGCTGGCGTCTTCGGGGTATAGATGACTTCTTGTATGCGGAGTCGCAGTCGTGCGTAGTTGCCTCTTGTTTGCAGGAAACCAGCTAGCAGCTTGAAAGGAGCGTGGTATTCCCTTGCTCACGATGTGTCGGTACGGCGGCGTTCTACTAGAGGGTCGGAGCTGAGGTGGCGGGGCGACGGGTGCAAGCTCGCCTTTGGGACCCCACCCTCAGCCCTAGCAAGCCGCGGCTCGAGCTGCACCGAAATAATTTCTGACTCCACAGCTTTCCCCAACCCTCACTTGACGACATCGGATCTGCCCGTAGTTGAGGCCGAGGCAACACGCGACCTCTCTAGAGCCACTGTTCCCTGTTCACGGTTCCCTGTTCACTGTTCACACTTGATTCAAAATGTCGGGACGAGGAGGACGAGGCGGTGGACGCGGTGGTGCGCGTGGGGCATTCAATCCCGCGCGAGGAACAGTAACAATTGCCGGCACGGAGCTCAACTGGGATCTGACTGGTCTCGACATTCAAAAGGGCCCTGCCGAGCGCTTCCCCGTGAGCCTCTCCCTCTATTGATTCCATGCGACATGGCCGTCGCATCGCGTTGCGCAACTCCCTACCATGCTTGAACAAGCCACTGAGACGTGAACAGGACGCCCCCCCTCCACAGGCGCCTCCGCCAACCGACGATGAGTTGGGCATGGTCAGACACCACCTAGCCGTCCGCGACCGTATACACGAAGGCCCGTTCTACACAATCCTGAACGATGGCATGAAGAACGGCCTTAAAAGAAAGGCCAACGAGCCCGCGCCCACCGAAGCCTCACTATTTGATCCCTTCACCGGCAACCAGACATACTCTGCGAAATACTTGAAGGTGCGGAGGAGATTGCCCAAATTAGATGCGCGACCATATGGTGAGTTGGGTGAATAGGCAAGACCACCAGTTGAGGCTCATCATGATGCAGTTGTTGACCTTTTCCCCGCCGAACTACGTCCAACCTTGGACGGAACGCGAGCCGACGGAAACACCGCCAAGAAGCGCAGGACACTAGGTGTCACCAAAGTCAATGCCGTGTCCCAGATCGAGCGGCTCATCAAGTCGGAACAAGAGCGGACCAATGAAGCCGAAGCGCGTGCCGAGGAAGAGGGCGACGACGAGGCCGAGGAGGATGAAGAGGAGCCAGACGAAGACAAGCCCGACGCAGTAGACGAGGAGGACAACTGGTCGGCCGCGTCCACCGACTCTGAAGAGTCAGACGACGACTACAACGCCGAACAGTACTTTGACAACGGCGAAGACGATGAAATCGACGACGCAGATCCATACGAGAACACATACGAGTAGCAGTAGCCGGCACGGTCCGCAGCATAGACACGGCGTACGGATAAGCATCACAGCAAGCATTATAGGCGTTCAGTTGAGTAGATACCCAAATCTTATTTCATGGCACATACCACAACAACAGCACGCAATGTCTCTATACGTGGCCTTTGGGCCTATACATCTGGTCTCTGCTACTCCTTCAAGCTGCTAGAGTACACGTTAAAGTCTACCGCTGCTTTCAGGCCATAAAGCTTTGAGCGTAAGCTAGCAAACTATGGTTCAAATTGCAAAAAAAGTCCGAGTACTCGAAAATCGATGCCATGGTTCAATTTCCATGCCCTTCTTCATCTCTTGTATATACAGTATTCTAGCACTACTATCTCTGCGCCCTTACCATCTCCATCGACCTCGTTTTCGTCACGCCAAGTCCTATTCTGCGAGCACATAGAACTATTCACGCCATTTGGTCTCTAGCCAACCCTAGACACAAGCGGCATCAGCTTCAGGATCAAAAATCTCTGGGACGATATACAACAGCTCTGCTGAATCAATCGCGCAGACGCATACCTCGAAATATTAGCAAAGCGCAGCGCAAACCAGCCTCGAAAACAACCTAGCCGCATCAACCGCGCCCAGCGCCCCGGCTCGGAGAAACTATCCTCAGCCTTCGCAACGACCATGGAGAACAGAGATGTTATGATCTCGCCCGCGATCTTCCGATCGGCAAGGTAGAGGAGGGCGATGTCTAGGGAGCAGGTTAGGAGGGAGAGGGCTAGGCTGAGGAGGATTAGGTCGAAGGGGGGAGGTTAGTGCTGAGCTGGAGGTAGGGAGTGGAGATGGGGGTTTTGATGATGATGGTGGTGGTGGTGGTGGCTGGGGTGAAATTGGGCATAGGGAGAAGGGTGAGCGGGTATATCATGACTTGCCGCTGAGGGATCAGTTGTTGGAGTATCGCGAGTTTCTGATGAGGAAGAAGTTGGCGGAGCCAGATGAGGTTGCAGGTTCTGGTAATGAGGAAGAGGACTTGGGGGAGAGTGACTAGTGATGATGATTATGAAGAGGAGGAGCAAAAGTAGGAAAAGGGGAAGGAGACGGGTTATGAGCAAAGTTCAAAGGTTTACATACGGGAGAAACACTATGAGGGGTGTAGAGTCTGTATCCCTAGCTAGCTAGGTTGAGAATACAAGTTTCCCAAGACATGAATTGTAGCGACCCGAGATGGTGTATACGAGGCGTGGTCGAGTATCGAGTGATGTTTGGCTTCTACGGCGTCGTTACAAATCTACAGCTAAATAAAAGGGCGTTGCCTGTTTCATCAAAACACCAACTGGAGACAG